TCAATCAATCATGTATTTCCAATACATATCCTATAACGTACTCTTCTCCTCAAGAGGGTATCAACCACTGAAGAAATATAAGGAAGAGAAAGAGCTTTTATCAACTTGGGAGGCAATGTCGGGATCATCAAATAAAAGTGGGGAAAGGGGATGGACAACCAGTTTGGACTAATATATTCAGCCCGCCTGAGACCCGATCAGATATGCATGTACAAGAAACAGAGTTGCACGAGATTGCGCCGTCCTGCATTAATGAGCAGGTGCGCTCGGTCCTTTTGGGCCACCAGGGGCTTTCATGAAATTAGGGTCGTACATTAAGGGCATGATAACAACAAGAATGAACTTTTGGCTGTGGATCAAAAAGAAATGTATAGAGAGATGAAAAGCAGATTCAGCCCATGACAAGGCCAAGAATTATAGGTGGAATCCCAATTAAACTTTGTGACTTATTTCAAAGTGTCCCATTAGGAATTCAAGATTTAAAAAAAAGTTTATGACACAAAAATTACAATCACAAAAAAAGCTCCAAGTAAGCTCTAGATTTTTTGAATGCCCAACTGTTTCCAATGACAGTTCAAGACAGAATGGTAAAGATTCTATCAAGAAGGATGTGAGTGTGTGTTCCTGGTGTATTTGCTTATTAGATTCCTTAGCCTGGCTGCCCTGTGCCTGTTCCATTGTCCAAAACCTTGATTCTTAGTGCCTTCTTCTAAGAACAGGGTTGCCTATACCCACTGAACCCTGTGTTATCATATTTACTCTCTTCACCTTTGTCATCTGGGCCCAATAATAGTTCTAATGAAATTTAGCTGTATTTTCTTACCAAGAAAATAGCACAGATTTCAAACTTTTTCGTGGACTTCAGGTTGCCACATTTAGAATCACACAAATGCTGTTTTTATATAAGTTTCACTCCCAAATAATCTTTTTTTGAAATACATTTATACACGCTCTTGAAATCCTTAAATTTTGATAATAGAATTGGAGCATTTGAAAATCCAATGATTTCATTATAAAAAATTTGTGCAATTCATTTCCTCCTGGTTGGTTTGGAAAAATAAACTCACAAACTCTTGACAGCCAATTGAAAATACTTCTCAAAATGTGATATGGATACATCTAATCCAAAAGATAAGGTAAACATCTGTTACATTTCCAGTCTTTCTCTGTCTGTTGAGTGTCAGAGGTGACCCAAGTTGGCAATCCTCTCTTGATACTTGGGTAGATTGATGCAACATGTGATATCCCATTTTATGCATATGAAACTTTAGAATCCACATTACTTGATATACATTAAGTACTTGATCTGCATTTGAGACTTCACCTGTGAGAAAATGCACCAGGGCAAAAATCTCAACATGATGTTCTTAATCATTATGACAAAAATATGGCAGGATCTCAACATACTGCTCTGGAGTGTTGCATTGAAAATATGACAGAGTCCCAATGTAAAATTCAGAAGCATTAAATTGAGAAAAGTTGAGATCCTGACAGTAGCACTGCTGGGGACTTCTTATGTATGAGGGACTTTGCAGTAATGATGACAAGTGTTAATATGAAGTCTCATCAGAAGTTTCCATGGATTCTTTGATGCTCCAAGAAGAGCAATACCATATGTACATTAAATGCTTGAATTTCACATGTACTTGTGTAACTGAGTCTCAGGTACTTGTTTGTATAGAAGAGTGATTTGATCAGCCATCTGTCTGTGCTAACCAAATATAGCAACAAGCTGCTTCCAGTGAACATTTGAAAGCAGCATTTCAGAACTTGTTGTTGAATTATTCAATGTTGAATCTCAATTTGCAATGGTGCTGCATACAAAGGTCAAGACAACACAAGGATGAACTGTTGGCTGTGGATCAAGAAAAAATATATAGAGAAATGAAAGGCAGAGTCAGCCCATGACAAGGCCAAGGATTCTTGTTGGAATCCCTAATTTAACTTTTCAATGTATTTCAGAGTGTCACATTAAGAGTTCAAGAACAAGTTCTAGACACAAAAATGACAATCACAAAAAGCCTGTTAGCAAGCTCTGAACTTTTTGAATGCCTAATTGCGCAATACTTTTGATAATGCATTCTACAACCCTCTGGAGAATAGGGTCCTGCTCAACCATGCCTCAACTTAACAATTGCTCCCATGGAATGGATTGTGCTTGTTAAGCAAGACACCCTGAACGAAAAAAAACATGTGCATAAATTCTTAAAATGTTGGGGAAGCATAGAGCAAAGCCAGAAAATATCATAAACATTCCCTTTGAGGTAATGCAGACATGGGACTAGTGTGACATCAGCAATTTCCACAGCTTCCAATCATGCCTATGTTGACGCTAAATTTAAATGCAAGGACTTTGGTGAACTGGATAAAAATAAAAGTTACATTTGTGTATCTTATGCATTTGGCATGGTAACATGGTTGGGACAAAATTTGACACAGTATATTAAGAAAAGAATTGAACACTAATTCAGCCATATACATGGCTGGGTATATATTAGAACTAAAACAATCATATTTCAGAACATTGAAGAAGGATTATGAAATTTTGCCAAGATGAAGAAGATGAAAACATTCTAACCTTATTCACAGTCAAGCTCAAATAACGTTTGATCCTGATTAGCAATACATTCAAACTTGATCCAATGTTCTGAACAACTTTTTATGCCCAAGTGTGGCTGGACACTTCCACCTTGGTTTATTTGCCGCTTCTAAAATTGCAACACCATTGTGGCTATATTTTGCAGTTCATCAAAAGGATTTCTTGTAAGCAATTAAAGATTTATTCTACTGACATTTTTCTCTAACAAAAGATTTCAGTGTACTTCATCCCCTCAAACATGTAGGATCAAACAATTGGCAATGCAAAGAAAATGAAGGAATATATTTTCTAAGACGAATTTGTATTAGGATTGAAATTAGCTAATAATTGGAGGTAATAAGTTTTAGAATCTAATTGATTAATATCTGGCAAAATACTGAGGCTCTAACTGATGAACTCTTGGGATTATTCAAGCTCAGTGAAAGTGGAAGCAACCTTTCTTGAGCTGTGCCAAAAAAAACCATCCTCGGTCCATTCTTGAACCACTTCAAGGTGTAACGTATCCAGGAAAATTTTGCCTTTTCTTTTCAGAGACTGGGAAGACACGGAAAAGAGAAACAGTGGAAAGGAAACAAGTGTCACAGGAGCCTCAGAAACGGATGATGATGATGACTCTGAATTTCACGGAGTGCCATTTTCTTGCCCCGGAACCCCGTCTTCCGACTCCAACAATGTTTCAGATTCGGAAAATGCGTCAGCAGTGTCGTCTTCATCATCGGATGACGACGATGACGAGTGGGCGGGCAGTGACAGCGACAGGAAACGAGGCACGTGCAAGGGGCTTGGCGACAGTGAAGACTTCGTGGACAAGTGCTTCGGGGTCAATGGATTGGACTTCTTCCAGGTACTGTTCCTCATTTCAAATGAAATTTCAATTCAAATACAAGAATTGAGAGTATAGTGAGACCTTTTCCACGAGAAAAAACCTTTATCAAATCACTTTGATTCAATAATTTCACAGAAAGCACAATCAATCAGAAGTTCATTGCTCAGAGAATTGAAATCCCATTTGCTGAAATAGTTTAATCTTCCTAATTTTAGTAACTTATTAATCAGTTTCATGACTGACTACTGTAATACAGTGAGACCCCAAAATACACACACCCTCAATAACAGATGCACAATTTTACTTAGGAGCCCTTATTGGCACTGAAAAATTTCACCCCAACATGTGATGGACAGTGACTCAAGATATGGGCATTTTTCCAAGATTTCTGAAAGAATTAAAAAAATCGAAGTTGTTGTTTTTCTTGAAGAAAATGAGCAACTGTATTTTAATCTAAATTTCTTTAATTAAATTTCATGGCCAAATGTCCCTACCCTCTGATCCTTGAATAAAACAGGTTAATTTTTTGCATCTTTTTTCATCATGTGCCCCACTATGAGCTCCTTATGTGATGTCAAAATATCAGATGCTGATGATTTTCTTTGGTACATTTTTTTCTGCATCTTGGGGTTGAGAAAATATTTTTTTTTCAATTTTTGAAGGGCTTTTTCTCAACAATTCATAAACATGAGACTCAATTGAAAAAAATCCCATTGAAGTCTAGGAGAAAATGTGGTGTGACATGCAGATGTTTTGATTTAATGTCAAGGTCCATGCGCCAATGGCATCCACATATTAATGGGGTCCCGCTGAACTTATCTTTATGAACTAGAACTAAATAATAGATTATGCATTCCAGAATTTGTCAACTAAATAATTTCATGCGCAACTTCAAAGAATCAACAAGTAAGTTGTTTCAAAAACAAAAAAAAACCAAAAACAAAAGCTAAATCAAACCACAATGCATCAGAAGCTTATTATTCAGAGACTGTGAGATCCCATCTGTTGGAATGATCTTCTTTGATGGACTGACTTGTATTATCTTCAATTGCTTGAGCAAAAAAAAAATCCATTTTGGAATTTATTAATTTATCATTTTTTGCTAACTGTTTATATTTTAATCTGCAGCTCCCTGGGCAACATAACAACCAACACTCTCAGCAACACTTGGGATTGCAAGGAGGATATTTTCAAAACCAACAAAATGCTCCACAAGGAGGAAATGCTCCACCTGCATACAATGAATTCTTCAGACAAGATTCCAACATGCATGACTTCCAGATGTCTGAATTCTTTTCTGGATCACCATGTTCCATCAGCAATAATGGCAGTTTGGTGGCAGGTGGTTCTGAATGGTCCACTGCTTACCAAAAGAGCTTCCATGGTTATACCCTGCTGAATTCCAATGAGGTGAGTGCTGGTTCATTTCAGTTACTTCTGCTGATCATCCTTCCAGGCTTTGAATTTAACCCTTGTGCAGCAAAGTTGGACAATTTTTGCAAAATTTTGGGGCACCTCAGAGAGGTTTGGAAAAAAAGGATAACAGGTGGTCAAGGGCAAAGTTGGGAAAAATCCCTATGCTTTTTTCTCTGAGCACAAAAAAATTTTGTGGGCAAAAAAAATTTCTCAGTTAGGCTACCAGCTTTTTATTCCTATTAATCCCGACTTTGCCTCAGCCCACCTGGAAGGGTTTTGGTGACCTTCCCAAAACTGAAAACGCGGGAGGATACAAAAATAATCCGACTCTGTCCCGCTATGGGAAAGAACCCTCCGCCGTCAAAGGGTTAAAGATATTTGTGTTATACTGAATAAAGGACCCAAACCACATTGTGAAGCATTTACAGGATGTGCTTCAGAGTCAGCTCATCTTTGGTTTGCAAAATCATAATAAGTTGACAGCAATTTGAAAAAATTATTTTGGTAGTAAGGCTTGTGTACATATGTAACACAAAGCCTATGAAACAATACAATCTGGTGAAGTTATATAAATATACAAGTTAGACAAATTTTACAGAAAAACAAAACTTTCCCTGAAGTCCTGTTAAAAAGCTTGATATAGCAGGTGGGCATATATTAAAATGCCTAGCTGTTATGCATATAGCAGGAAGACATTTCAAGATGCCTGCTTGATACTCCCACCGGTAGAAATTTTTTCACAGTTATTTCCACAACAGATATGTCCCAGTTCAACTAAAATAAGTTGAATTTTTCTCAAGTATCGACAGAAATTTTCATCAAATGGAAAAATCTCTGTAGAACTTTCAGATGAAATGATGAATTCAGCTTATATTATTGCATTTGAAGCTCTAAATGTGTGGAATCTTCAATCCCAATTCTGACTGACTGGATCTGGTAGCATTGATGAAAGTTGTAATCAATGATGAAAAACAAATTTGTCTGAGGGGTTCCGCACATCATCTTCCCAAAATTAGGAGATTGGTACAGCTGATGGAATGCATGATTGAAACAACATTTTTTCAGATCACTCAGTTGTTTAGAAAAATCAATCTGAGAATACCAGAAAAGAAAGATCTAAAGAAAGTTAAGTGCACATCTGATGGACCAATTTTCTTCAGCTATTATTTTTAAAAATTGTATTAAAACAAATTACTCAGTATAATCATAAACTTTTTCTCAAGTCCCAAAAGTTTTTTCCTACAAGCTTTCACTGGACAGTCAACCCCCAGCTGATGGACTTAATTTGTGCAACAGGCAAGTCTGTTAGACAAAAACACCTTTAGACGGAATTCACTGGATAAACAATTAGAACTTTTTACTTTCAACAATAATTTCAAACCAACAGAAGCCTGCTTGGAAAATGTTGTCTGTTGGGTGGCAGGAAGAACTGCCTGCAGAGCTGGTCTATTAAGCAAAAATCCCTTACACAGGGGTATGTTAGGTGGGGGGTCCACTTTACTGTATACAACAATTGTAAGCACATTGAATACTGCACACAGTGTATTTGCTGTACTGACAAAGGGGTATACAGAATCAACACTGATTCCCTTTTCTATTCCAAAATGGATAATCCAAATTGTAAGATTGACAATGCGAGAATTGGATTTTTGTGTGCCAAAAATTGCACCCATTTTCATTCTCCCAAAAGGATTTCAGCATTTTTGGAAGCGTATTAAGCACAATTCCGGATTAGGCAGGCATTCACGGAATTGACCTGCAACTTTATTGAACAAGGCTTCAAACATGAAGCAGATTCGTTTGGCTAACTTTTTTAAATTAACCGCATACAGACAGTGACTGAGATTTCATGTAACTTATTTCAGGCAACAACAGGAACTTCAGCAGAGAATTCTCCGCAGTCCTACTCAAACGAAGGTCACACTCCACCCCCAAAAGTCCCTGAACAGGTGCTAATCCCACCAACAAGCGACTCCGCCTCCTTGAGCACAATTTTCGATCCATGCACAAAAGCAAAGTCCTTTGTGCTCATTACTTCGCAACAAGCATCAACATCGGAAACCCCAATAAGTCATCCATTGGGGAGCGAGGAGCGGTGCGTTGATTTGATGCAGCCGCGAAGAGCGACACCTAGACGTGAGAAAGTGAAGAAGCAGAAAAGTGTCAGCAGCTCACGAAAACAGGTGACGAAACCGACGAACCTTGAGCATTACTTTGCCGAGTTCGAAAGTTACCTGGATCCCAGGATGCGCAATCGTTTGATCGCTGTGGTGAATTACATTCCACTGGCTGAACTGGTTGGTCCATCTCCGCCGAAAAGCTTCAGGTTCGATCTGGTTTCTGTTCAGCTTTATCGCGGGGGTTTTTCGTAGAAAGCCGGATGACGTACGACGCATTACATCGACGTTTCGGGTTATCAGTAAATTTGTTATCTGCTGTATATGCACGACAGATTTTTTGATGTTATTTACGCAGAATGACAACAATAAGAGAAACATGGTCGGCGTCAGTTTATCCGAACTTTCGCGTTATAGGAATTATACTTTCTACCGCGTCTTATGCGGATAATTATAATTCCCTTTCCCTTATATGTATCGTTTAATTATGCACGAAGTTTCGCATCGGATACATGAAATATCCTGCAAAATAAATTTAGCTTGATTTATCTGATGCACACACATCTGATGCAAGTACTGTACGTTCATTATTCGGCCCTTGTTCTGAGTTTATTCATTGATAAATAACGCCACGATCGACGATTTTGTTTCGTTTTTCTGAACCGAAACTCCGAAACCAAGTGGAATAATAAACTGATGCACGCAAAATTCATTTCGGCCTGTAGATGAAATCTTTCTTTGCCAACTTATTCACGACATTCTATTTAAAAATTCTCTTGGAACCCTGAAATAATTTGCTGAAGTGGGCAAACAGTGACTTTTATAGACGAAAAGGACGAGTCTCTAGAAATTCGTTTCTTTTTCGGTTTGGATTTTCGGAATTTTGATGATTAAATTACAGAAGATGGTTTCAGTGCAAAATACTGTACACGGATTGCACCAGATTGACGCGACGTCCGAGAATTTTTAGAGAAGGTGTGCTTGTAAAAAAGGAACAATCATGACAATACCCACTTCGTTCAGAAACACTTCATAAATCCACTGCATGATGATAAGTGAAAACTTTCTTCACATCAGCTTTATTTTTCCAGCACCCATGCCACAGATGGAGCTAAAAATTTGTCAAGTAACAAAGTTTAAATTTTTTTTACCTAGTCTGAAACAATTTTCAGTTGAAAAAGTTTTGATTAATTTTTAATTAATGCGTTAGTTGATTTCTATTTTTTAAATGCAGTTGATTTAAAAAAAACTTTAGTTGATTTCAGTTGAGAATTTTGGTTAATTCTAGTTGAAAATCCCAGCTGATTTCTGTTTAAAATTTCAGTAATTCTAGTTGAACATTTCAGTTATTTTCAAATATTTGTAGAACAACAGATTTTCAATTTGTAGCTAGCCTGACAAATTTTTAGCACCCTGTGACATGGGTGGAGAATTCAGGCAGTAACTGGAAATTTTTCACTCATCATCATGCATTTTATGAAAAAAAAATTTTTATGTGAAAAATAACTGGAACCATCAGGCATTATGGGCATTCCCTTTTTTATTTTACAATCACATCTACTCTAAAAATCAGCTGAGGTCGCGTCCAACTCGAACAGCCCTTGTAACTTTTGGAAAAAATTTGGGGAATCGCCCATCAGGCACAGAAAAAAACTAATGCATCGGCAAAATTAAAGCACATTAAAATTAAATCAAATTTCAACCCACGCATTTTTTTCCGTCGACGTGGAATGCATGAAACAATCAATTTAAGCGCACATTTCAGCCTAATTTTTTTCAAATTCATGCTGGCTCAAAAAATAAAATTCTTTTCCAGCAAGATGTTCCGGTATTTGCGAAACCGAGAATCCCAGTCTCGCTTGCCAATCATCAATGCGACCGTTCTGCGTCTGAAATCGGAGGATTGCCTCGACTTGCTCAACAGACCGATTGCTGTAGACGTACGCAAAAAAATAAATAAATAAAACCACACAAAAATTTGTTTCCGAAAACGATATTAGATTTTTGGTTTTGTTTTCAGGAAACGCAACTGGATTCCACGACGACTTTCCTGCACATTTTCGTTCAAGACTCGATTCTTCACGCTGGCGGGAACCGAAACAATCTTTCTTTGTTGGAAGATGACTTGAGGATCTTCAAGTTTTTGCTGGGCTGTGGAGCTGATCCTTACATTAGGTGCCATTTCGTATTATAATCCGTCCATCGTTTATGCATGAGCAAAAAGTATTCATGTTTAACGGTAAAGAAAAGAAATCGGCTTATATAGTGAATGAATAACTCCTGAGTATTTTCCCGAGCATCACTGGAAATCCTCTCGAGACCTAAATTTCTGATAGCAGCCCTTCGTCAGATGTTGAAATCAATGATTGCATTTTAATGAAGATTTTTACCAATTCATTTTCCACAATTTTTCCGGCTTTGAAGTTTATTCCGAAGAAGTAAAGAATTTTTCGGCAATTTCTTCAGCATCACTGGAAATCCTTCATCATCATAATTTTCTTAGTAACTTTCGACAGGCAATAAAATCAATAATTCTAATTCATCGAAGATTTGGACTTGAAATGAGTTTCCAAAATTTTCGCGGCTTTAAGTTTTGATGAATAATTTTCTAGAGTTTTCTCAAGCATTGCCGGAAATCCCTTATTTTGCCCAAATTTTCTTAACCTTTCATTTGTCAGACAGCGAAATCTTTAGTTTTTCAAAAGAAAAGGAAGATTCACACTTGAATTTATTTCTGGCTTCGGTGTTTATTCAACCTCTTTCAATCTTCAATTATAGATTTATGGATCATGCCATTTGTAAATAAATGACACATCTTGAATGTTCAGTATCATCAACCCCAGATTTTCGGACCCAAAACTGATATTTGTAATCTCCATTTTTTGGAAGTAATGCTGTATTTGTATTCCAGTCGACTGAATCAAACTATTCCATTTTTGTTTTTCAATTCGGTCAATATAAATGGAAGAACATTCCAGGATTTATGAAATTTCCCAATTTCAAATAAGTATTTTATTTGGTGTTTCAGGAAGAAAATAATAATTGTTATTCCTTTGAGTATAGGTACATGCAATTGGAATTCATGAGCATTGAATAAAAATAAAAATAAATCAACATGGTCACCTTTTTGAAGAAAAAGTTTAAGAAAAAATGCAAGTAAGGATTAAATTTGTTAATTGCTTCACCGGCAAGCTTTATTTTCTGCTTTTCAGCATTCACAAGGTGGAAGCAATATGTTCCCACATCAAAACTCCCTCCCTTCTCATTACCCACATTCATCCAAAGACATTCCATCGCATCAAAATGGCAATTAGAGAAATATGCTGTACATGGGCATTTGAAAAAAAGAAAGTACATCCCAAAATATAAAATTACCAGACTGATTTAAATGCATACCCTTTCTTCCCCTCCCTGAAAACAAAAAGAAAATTTCAGGGATAAAAATTAAAGCATCAGGCAATCACTGAACCCAAAATAAAGAACATCAAGGTGATCAGTTGGAATTCATTTGGAGATTTTTTTCTTAATACAGGTGGTACCTTGTAATTCCACCTCTTGCAATTCAACTGTCCTGCAATTTGATGGTCAAATTTACTGAGAGGTCAATGCGCAATTCAACCTCTGTTGCGCAATTTGACCCACAGAGAGACATGAAATGTTAAATGCCTTGTAGAAAATATGCCATTTGACATTGTCTTGCAATTTGACTGCTTTGAAATTCTAACCTAGTCCAGCAACGGTTTGGGGTTGAATTCTTAGGTACAACCTGCATTTAATTACATGTTCATTAGGTCATATCTGGATCTGAAGTTTTTATTTTTTTAATACCCCAGAACCATTATAAAATAGCACTGTAATTAGCAAATAAATTTTTTTGATTTATATGGGAATAATTAGTGCTTGATTCATGCTGAAATTCCGCAGAAACTATGAAATCAAAGGAGACACACTGATTCACTACATGGCCAGGATAGGGGATGAAACTGCGTCTTTCCTGAAAATCATCACAGAAACCCCGGGTTTGTTCAACAAGGAGAAGTTCTTCTTGAAAAACTTCGAAGGTAATGAAACCGGATGCATTTCAATCATCGGGAATCAGGAATTGAACCCTGCTTTTGCAATATATTTCGCAGGAAAATCTGCGTTAGAAGTTGCTTACGATGCGAACGGATCCTTGAGCAACTCCGGAATATTGATACAGACGTGCATCATTTCGCAGTTGATGTTCGACGCTCAGAAGAAGCCAAGATGATTCGTTTTCAATTCCGGAATGATTTTAAATTCGATTATTTCGATGTGTTTTAGAGAATCTAGACATTCGGTCATAGTTTTTTGCGGTTTTATAGTCGATAATTCGTCTTCATCGCTTTTGATTAGAATTGGGCAATATACGACAGGTTTGTGGACCAACATTTTAGAAATAATTTTTCACTGCTGCTGGTGAAATCACGTAACCAACTTTCCGGGTTTATTTTACTCAAAACTTGAAGAATAAGTTCGTGAAACTTTGTGTCAATTATGTTGCGAAACTTTTTCTCGTGGAGGAGAAAACTCGAATCATTTGAACTTCGTGAATATTTAGTCTATATAAATAACGAAATAAGCACGTGGATTTACTTTCCGCATGAGGAGTGTATTTTTTGAATTACAGAGCTAATCGCCAAAAATGAGTTTCACACAACCCACGATGATGAGACGCCACCATTTGGCTATAAGGAGATTTCGGCGGTTTAAATGTGGCGGTGGTTTATCAAATAGTTCGATTCAAAGTATTAGAATAAAAACATCAATTTTCCATCAAAAATACCAGATACACATGCTTATTAGAAGTTTCAGTAATTTTCTAAAGAGAATAACTGTGATTTACTTCTGTTTTGAACAATAAATTTGACTCCATAACATTTATCTGAATTTATAAAATGTAGTCCATCTATTGTTCATATTGTTCAAAGGATAAATATTTTATGTTTTTTCTTAAAAAAAGGAAAATCCTACACACAAATCACAATTCTAAACTAATTTCAGTGTCTTATTAATAAAGAGAAACTTCGTGCCAAAAAGCACTTTTGTTTCATTACTAATGTTGACAGATGGCACTTGGCTCCTTATCAAGGTTTTTTAACAGTGTTTCTCAACCTTTTTGGTCACACAGACAGATGGATTTCCATAGAAATTTTCATTGGCCAGCAAATTGTCTAAAACATTCTGTGAACAAAAATTCATAAAATTTTGCAGAATCAAAAAGGTTTTCTTGAAATACATTATGATTGTTATTCAAAAAGTGTATGCTGCTTTTCAAAAATTAAGTTGAGAACCAATATGAAGCAGCTACCACCGAGTGTCTTCAAATATTGGAATTTTGGGCTTGAAGGAATGTTTTTCAGAATAAAAAATTTAACTTGAATCAGGTTCACAGACCTGCATCAAATTTCCATCAATTTTTTTGGAAATGGCCATTTTTCATGAAGTTTTTGCGGACCAACAGAAAACTTTTGAATGCCTGCCTTGAGGTCCTCCAAACAAATGTTCTATCGCAAAACCAATGAAGCAATCACTGCAGTGGAATTTCTTGAAAAAATTAGAAGGCTGAGCTTAAAGAAAGTTTTCTCAGAACTTAAACTCGAATTAATTTATTTCAGAGGGTGAACTTCTGTTAGGAGCATTATTAGGAGAAGAGCCCAACTTTTTTATATCATCAGATAATCTCAACTGCCATTGTTTTTCTGAAATTTCCATTCAAAATTAACAGACTTCATTTCTACTTTTGATAAGTGTACTGTATTCTGGTGATGAAAATTCCCTACAAACCAGGAAAAATATCTGCAGAATGGCACAAGTCTCTGGGCCATTGGTTGGGGTCTTGGGGAACACTGTTCAAGGGTACATTCAACATAGAGGAAATTTGCTCAATACAAAATTCTGGCAGTTACCTATAGGCGGGTGAAGTTTTATTGGGGGCAGTCCTAATGGGGGTGTTCTGCAGAAAAATGAGGGAAATTATTGTTCTCGTCAGGGCAGGAGATGTGGATTATTTTTAGAAAATGAACAGAGGCATGGTTTAAACGTTTATTTATTTTTTTCATTCCGCGGAGAATTATATTACTGAATAAAATGATTACCTCGCTGATGGTTTTTATGCGCGTTTCGTCGAGTGTTTATTCTGGTGGCAGGGAATGCATTTTTGTATGAATGGACTACCCTTTATATAATGAGCAGAGAACTCACTCACCGCAACCCGGGGTTCAGCGTTGGATCGATTATGAAAGCAACTTGTCCCCGGGTGCTGCTGCGGTGAAGAGAGCAATCCCGGCGGTTGCACATCAGCCTGATCAGCTTTTGTGCTGGCGCATAAAAGCACAGGGTCACTCCCTGGGTGAGCACTCCTTCCGGACAAAAATATTGTTTTTTTTTAGCATATTATGTCTAAAACCTGAGAAAAATGTGTTGAGCACTGCAGGGCTCAAGAGTTAAATTATATTGCAAATGTACTCTCTGTACAACAAAACTCAAGGGATCAGAAAGAATTTGTTTTAGAAAACCCCTATATAACATTTGGAGTTAACCCGCTGTGGGACCACAACAAAAAAATGTGTTGCATCAAGGACATTTATGTACAGAAGATATTTGTAGAGCATAACAAGCTATATGGGGACTGCAGATAAATTTTCTCAGGCAAAATTATTTATTATAGCATGATTTTTGAAAGGAGACCAGGCCTGCATATAATCTGGCAATTTTTCAAATTTTTTATTTTTGTTTGAAAAGTTGAGTGATCTTTTGGAAATAAATATTAAATTCAGTCATGCATTCCACCAGTAGCACCAATCTTTTCATACTCATAAAATGATTTGAACATCTCTTCACTTTGGGATAGAACCTCTTCACTTTGGAACCACTTACAATCTTATATGATTTGAGGACCCACTGCAGGATGACTTTTGAGAAATGCAAATTGCCAATGTGCAAACAAATTGGTATAGATACAACCCAGAGAGAATCTGTAGCCTGTATAGGAGCGACTATAAATCCTGTGAATATAAAATTCATACTTTTGGCATTTAAATTCAGAATTTACAAACCTGAAACCTAGATCAAATTGATGGACTTGATGGTTTCTGAATAGGAGCTTGATTTCCTGACCAAACAGTTCTTCAGTTAGGAAAGAATGGATTTTGGAATATTCAACAATTTAAATGATAATGCTAAATGATTAGATTCTAAAGTCTACAAGATTCAAGTATGGAGGAGAATACCACACATCATGACCTAGACAAGTAATATCAACTGAATGCTTGAGGAGATATGACTCACCTCACAATGTTCTATTGCCATTTCGCAAACCCATTCCCAAGTCCTCTTTGTGGACCTTGCAGGGACACATCAGCCTTTGATATTCTCTGTCCTCAGTCTCCTTCTCTCTTTGCTTTTCTCTCCTTTTTTCTTCCACTCTGTCCCAAAATCTCAAGTGTTTCAGCTCACCAGTCTCCCCTGCGAAATACTGTCAGTCAAAAACCACCCACCAGCTCATTTGAAAAAGAAACATGAGCAACTGAAATTCATGTTCTTGCCCAGGCACAGTTTTGCAAGAGATTTTTCTTTAAAAAGATACAATGATTAGGTTGCTCCTATTCAAGTTCACGTTTGAATAAATATTGGTACATTCATAAAATCGCTAGAGAGTCATTGAAGCTTCAAATTGAATGCTATTTTGAGTGAGCCAAGAAATATGAGACTCATTTCAATAAAGGGTTCAAGTTGACTTTTTACAGAAAAGGTTTCTGCTTAGTCCTTCATTATTTGCTAATTTTCTGAAGAAAAAAGTCATGGGTTGAACAATTTTTGACCACGTCTTGACAAAATGCAGCTGAGAAGCAGAGCAGTACAGTGGCCCCCCGCCTAACAGACCTCCCGTGTAAGGGATTTTTGCCAAACAGACCAGCTTTGCAAGCAGTTTTTCCTCCCGCCCAACAGACAAAATCCGCCAAACAGACTTCTTTTGGTTTGAAATTAGTGTTGAAAATTGAAATTTTTAATTTTTTATGTAATTGAATTTGTGTAAAGGACTTTTTGTCTAACGGACTTGTCCCTTGCACAAATCAAGTCAGTTAGACAGGGTTGACTGTATATGGGTCACATGAAAAAGTGCTGATTTTCAATTGCATTTTTAGATTCATAAGTGAGATGTTACCTGAATTTCAAAAGAAATTGTCTTCAGTTTCTTGGGGTTTCCATTATCTGAAAACTTTGAGGGTTAAAACACATTTAGCGAAATACCGGAGACAGAGACAACCAGGGATGAGATCAAATATCATCAGCCAATCAGCTGATACAGTTTTCAAAATTTATGAGGCACAGTATCTCAATTCCACTTATGATTGTTGATGCTCCTCATTTTTTGGAAATATAATTTGGTTGAGAGAAAAAAGAACCATCCTTGATGAATCCGATTTCCAATGCATATTCAAATTTCTGTGTGAATCTTCCCCAAAATTCAGTTTAATTGCAAAAACCATTTTAAAATTGTAAGGTGTTCATTTTCAGCAAAATGAATTCTTAAAAATTGATGAATAAAACAGAAATGGACTACCAGAAATTTTTTGGTAGATTCTAAAAAGTTTGAGTGGATATTATATGATTTTTTTTAATACTTGGAAATGGTTTTCATTTCCTATACAAGTTGAATTTTTTAATGCATCATGTGTAATTCCGGTGATAGAGACCATCATGGATGAGATCAAAGATCATCAGCCAGCAAAGGATTAATTTTCACAATCCAAATCTTCCAAAAGTTCAAGGTTTTCATTCCCTGAAAAGTACCTGTATCTTGATTAAAGCACGTTTGGTTGAGTATGGGAGAAGTAGATCATCATTCATCAAACAGATCTTTTTATTCAGACATTTTCAGGTGACTGAGCTTGTCGATGTTATGGCAGTTTGACATCCAACTGTTGCAAGCAGTTCAAAATTTTAGAATTTCTATATTTTGCAGAAGAAAAAATTGTAAAAAATTAATGCGAACTGCGAAAAATAAACTTTCGACTGCATGAAAAGTCTGAGCAATTCTGTTCATGTGATGGCGGTGGGTCTGGATGAGGGCCAGCAGTCAGGAGCAAGAAGCAGTTTTGGGTCCTGGGACTCGCGGCATATGATGGAACCCATGCTCAGTGGGTCCGCGCCAGAGGGCAAGAAATCCACTTTTCAATTCCCCACAGGAAGGCCTCATTTCGCTCTGCCAGTCGTGTCCTGCATTTCCGCTCCAGAAGCCGGAAGAGAAAAAAAAGGGGCGGTTCATCCACAACTTCCGTCACTCGCCTTGGTTCATTGCATGTGTTCACTCGATTTCTTTTTTCCCATTTGTATTTTCTTTTATCCAATGACGACAGGGACTAACTCGACTCATCAGATTCGCAATGGCCT